GTGACATGATCGAGAAGGGAGTGACTGAGATGACGGTTGATAGAGTTATTTAGAGGACAAAAACCTGGTGCATCGACGCTACGAGGGTATGATAAAGCAGGGAAAAGATGGTGAAAAATTAATATTTGTATGTAACGAATAAACTCAAAAACTACTGGAGTTATTTTAATAATTCTTTTACCATTAGAAAGCTACATTATCACTTAATGATATAGGATATATTTATTACTTTTTTTTTAATTCCTCATACACCAATTCGAAAAAAATAATTACATCTATTTGGTAATTTCAGGAATGCATACTTGTCAATTACATCGATGGACTGAGATTGTTAATGTTAGAAGACCCTTCAAAGTTACCTTTAATGAATATACGAGACTTTGAACACGTGAAGGTAAGATTTAGATACAACTGTGTAGTCTGGCTTTGATTCCTATGACCTTATGGAAGTGCACTACTCGATTTTTAGTTGTGCAACTAAACAGTTGAAGGCTGCGAAACAATTGACAGACGACATTGTTTTTGATTTGTTTGTTGTTAATTTTGCTTGAAATTGTAGCAGGGGGACGAATACGTACAATTATACAATTTTGTTAACGGCGGACGGCCGTCCGCAGTTTTCGCTTGTTTCCTTGATGTCGTTCGTTGAGTGAGTGGGCGAGTCGGAAGCTGGTGTTGCCACAGGCGTCCGACAATTTTATCTTGTCTATTGGTAGTTTATTTTATACAGTTGGTAGTTTATTACTTTATAAATTTATTAATTATTGATTATTTTATTTTACATTTTAAACAACATAGTTGTGCGATTGTTTCGTGAAAAGTGTGCGCTCGCCCTTAGACCAAAGAGTATGCAAGTCTATTGGTAGAAATGGTCAAAGATTAGGCAACTTATAGTGACAGTTGTAAAAAAATTGGCATAGAATATTGACACAAGACGAGACAATGAGTAACACTTTTTAGACATTGGCAGAGGGCGCTAATCTTACTAATATTATAAATGCGAAAGTTTAGATGGATGGATGGATGGATGGATGGATGGATGTTTGTTAGAGTTCGTAGCCTAAACGACTGAATGGATTTCGATGGAATTTGGTACAGATTTGAAGGATAGTCTGGAAGAACACATAGGCTAGTCACTTTTGTTTTTTTAATTCCACGCGGACGGAGTTGCGCGCGAAAGCTACAGAGCTAAAATTTAGTGTCACATGTCCCCTGTGTCACGTGTTAATTTAAAATGTATCTTATGTCCTAGATAATAACGTCTAAAGTCCGTCAACTGTACAGTACGGAGTTTATAAGATTTGCTCGAAGTATCGGTCTACCGCCACGGAAACCATTAACACATTGTACATGGTTTAAATCTAGAACTGGCCCTAGTTGGGGTATAAGAAGGAATTGGACTCGGTAAGTTGTTCTTTCCCTGTCACACTAATGGGGATGTTTCCTAATTTTTGGAATTGCTTTTATTATGTAGATAAACCATATCTAAACAAGAAAAAAAATATAATAAAATCACATACGCAACATTTAATTACAAAAACACTTAACTAAAAACAACTTCCCGAAAGACCGCGAAAACGCCTCATGACATGACGTCACTTCTTTGTTAACAAACCTCGCGTCGCGGTCTGTCAAAGTCATTCAAAGTGACCAGACGTAAATTGAATTAGCTATTCAAATAACTTTTACTATTTTTTTTTCGATCACTATGATCGAAAAATTTGCTTGTAAAATATGTCGTAAATATAAAAACACTTAATAATGGAGTCCTCATAATATAACACACGCAAACTCAATTATTATAATCATTAAAAAAAATTATAACTACAAAATGCACTGACATTCACTGAAGCTGGTCACACTGCCATGTTGTTTGCGAAGAAGCTACGTCACCGAGCTCTGATTGGTGTTTGAGATAGAGTAATGGAGGGTAAAAAATATTGCAGCGTTTTTAATTTATATTTCAATGAAGACAAACATATAAGGTCTCTAAATGTTATTATAGGTTTTAAAATACTGTCTTTAAAATATTAAACATCCCCATTGATTTTGCATATATCCGTCTCGCTCTTTATGCGTCAAGAAAGCTATTACACGCGTTAGAAGCAGATGTTCTTTCTCTGTCGCACATCTAGTTTTTGTATATCTATCTCGCTCTTCAAATGCGTTTATCTTCATATGTTGACATGATCATAGATTAAAATTTTTACAGATGCGACATATTACGTTGGATGAAAATAATTATGCCAGAACCCGTATATTTGGATCATTGGGATTTAGTATGGTATGTATTTGTTATTTTTAATTCTTTTTTTACAATTTAATAATAATATTTTTCCTTAGGTATCAAAAACCGGATTATCCAAAAGTTAAATTCGGACGAGTTAAAATACCTAGACAGATGACACATATACCGCATTACATATCAAAAACAGAAAAATCAAAGGAAAAAATGGTAAGTCACCGTAAAACTATGAATACCGTCATTTTATAATCTGTCCAGAAACCAATTTAAAAAAGCATTTTCAAGCTTACAACATCTTCAATAAAAGTTCCGTTATAATCCAGCCATTATGGAGACAGACAAAAATAAAAACAAAATGTTTTTTTTTCTATTGTATATTACATACAGACACTCCAATCTTAACAATATAAATACGAAAGTTTAGATGGATGTTAGAGTTTGTATCCTAAACGGATCTCGATGATTGTCATACATAAAAAGCAGTGCCTCTCAAAGTGGGCGATAACGCCCCCTAGGGGGCGTTTGAAACCCAGAGAGGGGCGTTATAGGGCCCCAGAAAAAATTGAGGGCATTGATATGGGTTAGGGGGCGATGTATAATTTGTATTTTCATTTATTTTTACATAGTATTTTCAATTTCACTATAAATGTAAAAATGGGGGGGGGTTTAAGATTATTGATTTTCAAAGGGGGGCGGTCAAAGAAATATACACTGATATAGAGAATAGTCTGGAACACATAGATGTATTTTAGTCTTAACTAGCTGTATTCGTGCGGCTTCATCCGCATGAAATTATGAAAATTTGATTTTATTGTTTACATTTGTCAAATTATCAATTGCAAATGTCAAAGTGACATGACATTACGACAATCTTGCTTCTTTGATGTTCGCAGCAACTTATGGTCTCTTTCCCTCCTTAGGATTTTAATCCAAAATATTTACCTCCTAAGTTTAATGGCGTTAAAATATATAGCCTAAAGCGTGACGTAAATGAAGGGCTTTTAATTAAAAAAAAGAGTTATTCGAAAATATGCTGCAATTGCTGACATCTTAGGCAATAAAGAAGTGTGTTTACGCTTTATTATAATAGTATAGATTCCTTAACGGAGTCGAAGGCAAAACCAATAGATAGTACATAGAGAAATCTTTCCAGGTAAAAAGGAAATTCCGTCTTCTGACCGGTTTATCGGAATCCCAGCAGAAGATCTGGGTAGAGGATATCACACCGAAAGTGAAGAAGACAAAAAAAGTTCAAATTAAAACTTTCCAAGTGTCAGATAACTTGATGCCTAAGCAAATAATACTGACTGGACTGACTGGAAGGGATCTGATACTAGCTAGAAGGAAATTACCGAAGACAAAGTTTATGCCGTGAAATAAAATGTTTGAAAAAAAATTTTTTTTTGATTTCCTAGCGACCAAATACAACCAAGAATTTCTGTTGGTGTTACACCTAAAATGGCCGGTTTCCCAGCTATATGTAACTGTTAGTTATCCGTTCAATAACTTCATGAAATGCGTTTCCGAACTCCCTGAGTTTTATTCCTAGTTAAACCTAATACAGTAAAGGCTTACTTAAAGTCCAAGGGAAACATATAATATTTTAAGTTATAGAGGTTTTAAGTTATCAAGGGTCTATGTTAGAGGTTTTGGGCTCTGATGGGAAGGGAACATATTATTATTTTGAAGTTATCTATACTATTATAATAAAGCGTAAACACACTTCTTTGTTACCTAACATGTCAGCAATTACAGCATATTTTTTAATACTTCTTTTTTTAATAAAAAGCCCTACACTTGCGTCACGCTTTAGGCTATATATTTACACGCCATTAAACTTAGGGGGTAAATATTTTGGATAAAAACTCTAATGTGGGAAAGAGACCATAAGTTGCTGCCAACATCAAGGAAGCAAGATTGCTAAGGTTTGTCATGTCATGTCATTTATACATTTGCTATTGATAATTTGACGCATGTAAACAATTAAATAAAATTTTCATAATATTATGCGGATGAAGCCGCATGGGAACAGCTAGTATTTAAATATAAATCTTTCCTCTTTGTAATATTAGTATAGATTACCTAATGATTCATTAGTACGGTAGAACCTCGATAACTCAAACCTCGGTAACATAAAAACCTAATATAAAAATATATGTAGTCGATTCACGTAAAAACTACTGAACCGATTTCAAAAATTCTTTCACCATTAGAAAGGTAATTTATCTGTGAGTGACATAGGCTATATTTTTTATTACACAGGTAAAGTCGCGGGCAACAGCTAGATGTTTAATTTACATACCTGGATAGCAATAATGATGGTGTCATTTTGCACGGGGCCGAAAATATCTTCGTTGTATACAGTCTGTGCGTCATTATATCTCTGTATAGCTCGCTTGATATCTGACACGTTCTTTGGATTAGCTTTTTCCGTGGAATTCACTGGAATATATCAAAAAGAGTTAAAACAATCGACTTTTTAAGTCTACAATCATACATCATTGGTATCGTGGGTAACACGATTGGATAAGATACGAAATGAGTATATTAGAGGAAGTTTGAGAGTAGCCCCAGGGGTTGAGAAAATAAGGAGTAAAAGATTAGAGTGGGGCATGTTATGAGAAGGGATGAATCGCATGTAAGAAGGACGTTAGTTATGAATGTGGTATACCGGTAGAGGTAGACGTAGAAAGAGATAGATGGATTGTGTGAAAGGTGACATGATGAAGGGAGTGATGACTGAGATGACGGATGATAGAGTGCTTTGGAAGACGAAAACCCGGTGCGCCGACCCTACGGGAGTAGGATAAGGCAGGGGAAATAATGATCATAAATACGAAAGTTTAGATTGATGGATGTTTGTTAGAGTTTGCAACCTAAACGGATGAACGGATCTTGATGAAATTTGGCAAAGACGTAGAGGATAGTCTAGAAGGCTACTCACTTTTGCTTTTTTTAATTCCACGGGCACGGAGTCGCGGTCGGAAGTTAATCAATTTATGTTTTTGAAAAACTATTTCTTTAATAAAAAGCCCTACAGTTAAGACTTTAGGCTATATATTTTCACGCTATTAAACTTAGGTGGTAAATAAATTGGAATAAATCAAGGGACAAAAACTACAAGCCAATTACAAGCAAAATTAGATTCCTGGTAACGGTAATTGTTATCCAAATTTGAATTTTGATATTTGCTTATAAAAATCGATCGACAAAGGAAATGCCATTTTTCTGTCAAAACAAATGAACAAAAGTTCCTGTTATACTGAAATAGTTATTTCTATCTCACTTTGTTCAATAAGTGTGAGAAAGTAGACTGACCTGTTACATTCTTGTAGTGTACTGTCAGATATTTGTGCAGCTCCGGTGGTACGAGCGCCAGAACTTGTTCTGAAGTATCGTTCAAATTCATCAGCTCATCTGAAATGATACATACATCTCTTTCATTATTATAGACAAAAATAGAGACAAGTACATCGATGATATCTGGGTAGTCGAAGAGTAAATAGCACAGATAGGAGACTACATGCGGCAGAAATGCGAATGTTAAGATGGATGTGTCGGGTAACGAATGGATAAGATACGAAGTTTGAGAGTAGCCCCAGTGGTAGAGAATGTTTTTTTTGTAATATAAGATGGCAAACGAGCAAGCGGCCACCTCAATCCACCGAAATGGAAAGCGACCGCTGCCCATAAACATCCGCAATTGCAGATGCGTTGCCTA